CTACATACATCTAATCTGCAAGAGAAAAGTTTCTTCTACAAATGCAAAACCTAGTAAGAGAATCACTACCACCCCGAGACCAAAACCATCTGGTGGTAAGTGATAAAAATTCAGAACCTTAGGACATAAGGATTCTTTGGTTGGTAGTGATAAAAATTCAAAACTATCTGATGGTAGAAGTGATTGAAGTCGAATCTACCCAAACTTTGTTCTATAAAAAGGAAACAAGAGAGAAAAGTTCTAGGACTTCAAAGTTAAGTAAACAATAATGAAAGTAAGATGGTTTTGAGTTTTATGGTGCTTAATTTCAATGAAATTATAAAACTAGTCATATGTGGATGTGGACTTATCTTTTGACTTAGTGGGGTAAAAACATATTTAGTGGAATCTACCACTGTTTGGCCATAATCCTTGCATATTCTATTCATTACCAAATAAGAGTCTGTTTCACTACACTTCCCAGTTACCAGAATTCTGCGTGATATTTCCTACAATTTCTTTGTAGCAAGTGACTGCTCATACTTTTCTTTGTTCTTGCCTTTTTAGGACAAGGACATCCTACGAGACATCTGGCAACTATACATTGGCAATAAACTGAAGTATCTACCGATCTTGAAAACGAGGGAATCGAGCAAACGGGGTGGGGCAAGCTAGGACAAACTAATCTACAGGGTGAATCCAATGGAGTACATTAATTTACAATTAATATGGCGGATTGTCATTTATCAATCATTTTAAACCTAATGCACGCATTAATTCCATTACCCCACTTAAACCTTAAACTAATAGTATAATTAGTGACTGGCATCACGAATGGAAATGTGAAAAATGAGTAATGGAGCATTTTTCTTGTAGCCAGTCTCCTTCGAACAATGAATGAACCAGTTGTTGTACTAAAGATCTAATCTATCTCTGTTTTGTCGCATCAATCCATAGCATTCTTTTTTTACTACATTTGCTGGTGCACTTTATTGCCAGACTTCTTTGATATTTCGTGTGTGGTTGTGGCAGGCCATATTTGTTCTTGGAACAAATACGAGGTGCAATATGTGGTCATTAAATTGAAGTGCTAAGATCTTTTAAACTAGGATGACTCATCTATTGTGAGCCTTGCGAGTAGGCAGAAGTAATCTGTTCTTCATAAGTATATAATTAGTGTGTTAAAGTTAGAATTAATGTTTCATATAGCTACGAATATAAGTTTCATATTAGATTTCGTTCGATGTTTTTCCCGTTTAGTAACAGGACATACTAAAAAAAAAAAAATACATATTATAACATGAAATGATATTCTCTTTCTCTTTAACATGCTCGGTACACCATGGTCATTTTCCTCGAAGACTATACAAAACTTTCAACAATTACTCGATATGAGTTTTTTTCACGTTATCCATGAAGATAACAGTTATGTATAAATTCAATAATTGGAGTGTGTATTATAACGCGAGTGAATGAATTCCACACTTATGTTAAAAATTACTTTGTGGTTTAATTATGAACGCATTACATTACATCTATATGCATGTAATGACTTGCCCCTCCCCTCCTCAAGATTGGCCTGCAGCTATAATTACGTGAACAAATTTAAGACAATGTACAAAAGATTGTCATTTCTATTCTTCTTGTCTGAAAAATAATTTTCATGAGCAACTAGGATACATATGTGGTCTCGTGATAAAGACAACAAGGGTTACGACATTGAAGGAAAAACAACATACCTCATAAATAGGAAAATGATGGGTTGATTTGTAATGGGACAATCAGCCACGTGCGCACACCTTTGACAAGTACAAGAATTGGTCGACATAGCAATGCCCATGTAGACACGTAGATTTGTCTACATAGGTTTTATGGTCCTATTCACGTGAAACCCCAAAGGCTGCTTCTTGGCAAATTTTTGTTTTTTTGGAGGACCTCAGCAGTCTCTCAACACCACAATCAAACAAGCATCCCCAATCAAACTTAGACAAATTTGTAAGCTTCCCTTCATCATTGTTCATGATATAAGGGCAAATCCATCCCTATTCATAAATTTAAATTGGTGGGATATAAAGGCACTAAAAATCCCTGTTTCCTTGGAGATACAGCTGAATCTGAATTTCTCTCTCTACGGTGTCACAGTCTAATTAGTCTAGGTGGAAGTTCCATTTTGTACTTTTCACTGTGAAAATTAAGATATTCTCTTTTTTTTTTGCTGCATATATTTTATTCATGGTTGAAGAATTATGAATTAATCCCATTACTGATATTATCTGATAATTCGTGAGTAACTCAAGCTCCTTTTCGTTGTAATGAAATTAGCAATCTATGTACTGTACTGCACATAATTTCTATACAAATTGATATCGTCTGTTTTGCATATTCGACGTGCATCTATACTTGTTAATAGAATTTATATTTACAGCAACATAGACTTGCACATATAAACCTCAAATTTGTATCTTAATTGACTTTCAATTCGCAATAAAGCCGCACGCATCATGCATGGTCTATTCGTCTAGTGTCAGGTCACTTAATTTTATTGTCTCAATTCTATGTCCTTATTCTATATTTGAGGATCCTACGTACCATCAACTTTGCAGTATTTTTAAGTTATCTTCCACATCATAACACATCTGTCAGATTTTGATTTGATGGCCTTAATTTTCATTTTCGAATGAAGATATGTTTGATACTTTTTTGGTCGATATGATAATTTTTATTCTATGCCTACTCTTACTTTATACTAAAGGAAACGTGTGGACCCAAAGGAGTTAATAGAGAGCGAGGAAAGGATTGAATCGTCATCGAACCAAACGGATATCTATGCATCCATTGATGAAATTTTCAATATATAATGGGAAGCCCAGAGAGAACTGAACTGCCGACAGACTAAACGGGTGCCTGTGCACCCGTTAGTGACCTACACGCAAGAGAAGTTTAGGTTTTTTCTTGGTGGCCAACTCAGCCCCCAGCTGATTTGGTTCCGTTTGATACTCAATATGGTCAATTGTCCATCTCCTTACAACAATAGAGACGGAATCTTGAGGTATGGTTGTTATATTGTATGTGAGATGGCTTTGAATTAGACATCTAAATAGCATCTGCATAATAGGTGCATAATGTGGTGAAAAACAAAAAGAACTAGAGAAGTGGTGTAATATTATTATATATAACATGCAACATTGTTTTGTTTTAGGGGTAATTTCAAAAACCTCCCTTGAGGTTTCTGACAGTTTGACTTGACAATCTTAAACTTTGAAAAATCTCACTTGGCTCTCTTACTTTAAACCTTTTGTAACATTTGAAACCCACTTCAAAATATTATATTCAAAAACTCATTTTGGGAGAAAGAATAGAATTTTATTCCATATTTGCCTTGTGATTTCTTAATTATCATTTCACATCAAATTTGTCTCTTATTTTTTGTAAATTGATCAATGTATAGTTCTTTAGTGAAATTTTAAAAGTTGATAACAAGATCAAAATACTCTTAATAGTTTTTGTGTTATTGGTTCGAATGAAAATGCTAAATTACTTAAATTATGAATGATTTATAATACTCTTACAATAATTTACAACCATGAGAATAGCTTTTTGCACCAGCTTAAAAACAATACAAACAAGTTTATAAATAATTTTTAGCATGTTGTATCTTTTTACTTTTCGAGCCATTGATTTGGAAAAAAGAATTAGAAAATTCAAAAATATGTAAATGATTTATATAACTTCTTAAATTAACTCAAAGCATTTTATAGTAAGAAAATATTATCTCTATAACTTGCCAAAACTTCAAATAAAACTTTCAAATATTAACTATTGGTATTTTAAAAACACACTATAGTTTGTCCAATCAGAATGAACCTGCATACCTTTTTTTTTTTTAATTTTCATTTGTTACTAATATACTCACCGTTTTGGTAATAAAAAGTAAAACAATAAAAGGACAAAATTGGAATGAGATTATATTTACTCTTCCAAAATAAAATTTTTTTAACATTATATTTTAAAATGGATTGCAAACAATACAACAAGTTCAAAGTAAGGGAGGCAACAAGTGAGATTTTTCATCTTTGGCTTTACAGAGATGAAATAATGATACAACTATATCAAATTTCAATTTGGCATTAATTTGAACTGTTCTCAACAAGATTTATTTCTTGCATTTATTGTCACATCTAAACTGTAGACAGAAATAGTAGCACACAATCATAATGTGCTATACCCTGTTCTGCAGTGCAAACAAAGGTCATGTCAGTTCTGAACAGGAAATTTATGTCTGGGCCACATAGTAAATTAATCTTCCGACATGCGAAATCCATGCAATTTTAGTCACTGTTAACCTTTCATGGATTTCATACAATGTCACTGTGCAAAAAGGAAAGAAAGCGGCCTGATTAATGAGTTGCTTCATCTTTGTGTGGCAAAAGATGACGATGCTAAACGTATCGCAAGATATATTCCATTTAAGAAACTAAAACAACAAACAAAACGAAATATTCTTGACATCAGCAGCAACAGTTACTGGAAAGAAAACTTTTTAAACATTATTCTTACAAACACATTTGGTTTCACTTCACTGAATTGGATACTGATAGTAGTTTACAATACAAGAAGATTGAGCTTGGAAGCATGTTAAAAGAGAACAGCCATTCCAGCCGTTCCCTGCTAGCATGGTGGTTCTGCTATTTCTGCTCTATGTTGCAAGACGATATCCATCACCTCCCAGATTATTCCTCTGCCCCCCAACCAACCCAAAAAAAAAAAAAAAGAAAGACGAATTTAGAAGTGCAATCAATTTATACATAACTCACAGACAAACGCTTATGACAAGCAAACCATGACCACGACCACCCTCCTATACCAAAGGAGGGTATTACTCACAAGACATTACAACTTACAAACTGCAAAAAAAAAAAAAAAAAAAAAAACTCTTCTACGCAGCTGATAGCAAACCATTTCTTTTTACAAGCACCCTGAGGAGAGATAGGGGGGAAGATGAGAAGGACATTAATCGGGCTTCAAATGTCGCGAACGTGGAATATATTGGGATTTTTCACGACAATATCGTACATATAGACGGAATTGAACTTGGAGAAGTCTCTTGGAAGTGAAATCAGATCAATGGAAGAGTGTTTGTGGAATTGGAAGAGGTCAGGATCGCCATCGTGATACCTCTCCCATCCCAAACCGTTTAGGATATTCTCGAGGTAGGAATACGACGAAATCACCTGGCCTGAGGGCAAGTGAACCAAAGCCTTTCTTCTGGTACCATTCCTTGCATCTCCTTGTTCTGCTGCTGGATTGTCAACTAGCTGAATTACACCATTATTCCTAAAAACCCATACACCAGACATTTTCTTGGTTTTAGCTTTTGTTTGGTTATAGAAAAGAAGCTGAAATTTACTAACGATGAAGAAAGTTTTGTGTCAAATTGCTTTAGGACTTAGAGGAGAAGAGGCAATGAGGGTTGGTTGTGATGGGAATGAAGGATGATAGGGGGGTATATATAGGGGTGTAATGGCAGATAAAACAAGGGAAAAATACTCCGGAAGTGGGATGAAAAGATAGGTGATGATAGAGTTGTTTAACTTTGATATAGAATCTAGATATTGTGGGGCAGGTTTGGTAAAATATAAGGGCACAAGCAAGGCAACGGGGTGTGATCTTGGGCACACACGTAGGGGAGAGGGGTGGGGGGGGGGGTCGGGTTTAGGGAGAATGAGAATCTCTTGTTTGGTTTTGGTGTAGGCTTTTTCAATTAACAATCCTCCACCAGAGAAGGTGTACTATATGTGCAAGAGTATAAAGTAAAAAGTTCTCCACGGACGAATTAATTACCAGGGACAAATTAAAGTTTAATTATCACTTAGATAAGTATCCTTGTACTAAAATATTCTCATAACATTCTTTAAGGGGTGAATATATATATATATATATATATATATATAGATATATATTTTGTCGAAGAAATTCAGGGGTTAAAAAAAATATAAAAAAATTCTAGGATAAAAAGAAGGTTCTTAAATACATAATTAGTCAGTCTGGCGTCCATGTCACAAAACCTTTCCCTCGTCAAGAATCCCATTGTTCATCCAATCAAGGAGGAAGAAAGCAAAATGGATGATTATAACCATGTTAAAAGTGCTCCCATCTTAGCAAAACTTTTGCATAAAGTAGGACGACAATGATACTGACCGATCTTTTGTAGCTTGGCTTACAAAATTGAAAAAACAAACTTTCATTGCATCTTGAACTCTTATATTTGAAAGACTATGAGATTAAAACTCACAGGAAAGAAATAAATTTATGGATGGAATCAAATATACAACAAACAAAAGTATTCGGTTATCGGTAAACTTTTTGTAGCTTGGCTTACAAAATTGAAAAAGAAAAAAAAAACTTATTGTATGATCTTGAACACTCATATTTGAAAGACTCTTCAGGTATAACGTTTGGTTCCTTGGGGCATCAGTGCTGAACTAAAATTCATGCAAGAATTGTCCTAAATAATGCATCAACAAGTGGGAATCTTCAAAGGACACTGCTTTGTTTTCATCATTTTTATGAATTTCGAAAGTCAATCGAATAAAACATGTTGTGACCACTTAGGTCAGCTGAATCGCACGTGAAGCTAAGTGCATGGATTGCGAGATGTTGTAGAACCCTTTTCTTCTTTCCTTGATGGCTACTGTTTAGTGTTTACACTGAGCTGACTGGCCTGAAATGCAAATTGCTATGCCGACAGGAATTTCACACTTTTTTTTTAAAAAAAAAATAAAAATGATTGCATTTATTTAGCTGATATACATAAGTTTAGATAATTTTGTGAGATTGAAAGAGGCTGACATCTATACTATATATAACGGGAGAGGTTCTCATTTGGTGCAAATAATTTATTTCACTTAATGTTATACCAAAAATACTCTTTAAAATTAGTTTTCAAACTACTCAATTTCCCTCTTTTTCTCTACTATGAAGAATACTTAATTATATATTTTTGAAATTAGCACACACACACGTAGAGTGTACTAAAAGCACTAGTAGTATATGATTATTCTCCTAGCAAGATAAATGATGGATGGTTTCTCCCAAGGCCCTAATCTTTGATGTTTCTAATTAATTTGGTCTTATATTTCCTATACTCATAAAAAAAGAAAAAGCATCTAAATACAGTTTTTTCATCCACAAGGATCTCTAAATTTTGAGAGATGAAATTGAAATTCTTACCTGAAGAGATATTTAAGAAGTTGCGGCATACGGCCTAGCTCAAATTGTGGTATTTTACTTTGTTAAGACTCTGAAAAGTTTTGACTTCTAAGTTCTATGCTTAGCTTCGACCCTTGTGATTGAGGGATAAATCTGCTTAATTAGGTATCTCAAACGTTTTTATCGCATGGATGGATTTGCTGCGGCCGGCCAACATGGGAGGTTTCCATTAGGAAGAAAATGCTGAATTAGCTCAAACACACACAAAAAGAATAAAATCATAAAAATTAAAAAGAAATCTAAGTAAACAATCATTGCTATCGATGCCACATATAATTGCAGGATCTTTATCCATCACCATGTTAAGTACTATGTTAATTTTTTTATTCCTATTTTAATATATTATCCTATAGATGAGAACTATATATATTGTGATCAGGAGCCCAACCAATCGCAATGGTTCCCTTTGAGCAAATTTTATACCTTTTTTTTTTTGGCTATAAGAAAAGGTTGAGGCTTGTTCTCCTTCACTTCAATTTTACTAAAAACTGCATATAAAAAATATTCTAGAAAGTGCAAGCAAACGTCGGCAAAAATTCCATTTGTCCCACAGTTTTTAATGATTTCATACTTTTAGTCTACCAGCTACCATTTATATCTTTTTAGCCCCTAAATTGTTAAAAATGTTTACGTATGATCCTTTCATCAATTTGAACAGTTAACTCTAGCGGAGTATATATAGCTCAAAATGCTGTAGTTTTGATCTTCATTTTCCTCAAATCATGAGGTTAATTCAGTGACCGTTGCAACTATTCATTGTCGATTAACGACTATTGACTGCCGTTAACCTAGGATTGACCATCACTTCATCAGGTCAAATATTGATGAAACTATACCCCTAAACTTCATTTTCTGCATAGATTCCGAATTTGCTCAGTTTTCAATGACTTGATTACTAGATAAGACCATACATGAAGTCATATATAGATTGTAGTTCTATCACCATTTTACTTATCTTTCACAGAATCTTTTGAAATTAATACCAAAATGTTATTTGGAGTATAGAGAGTTCAAATCAAGAAAGAATTTGACACGAAATACTCCAAATTTCAAAATCCAACTTTCCACTATTTCAACTTTATTCGATTACTTCATGACTCGGTATTCGTCAAATTTTATATATTTTATACTCGTGAACTCTTCATGGGATGAAGAGTTTGAATATATGATTTATTTGTCCTAATTTGTGTTGAAGTAAAAATCCTAAATTTGAAGTGCTCTTTTTTACTTTTCTGAAAAAAAGCTTCCCATTTTCATCGTACGTCGCACTTGATGCTCTTTCCATCAACTTTAATATCTCAAACTAACAGAAGGGTAATAAGTATACATTTTTAATATATAGTTGAAGGGCTAAAAAATACACCTAGCAGTAAGAGAGCCAAAATTATGGAATTGTTAAAGTTTGAGGGCCAATATGCCTTTTTGCCCTTAATTTCAATTTAAAAACCTTGAAAAGCCAAAAGCAATTTTTAGAAGCAAATTGAGGGCTACTTTTTGAGATCAGCTTATTCCACTCTAAAATAAGTTAACAGCACCAGTCTATAAAAGCAATTGAGAGCACTTCAGAACAACTTTTAATTTACAAAATGAAAAAAGAACAACTAAATTGAAGCATCTAATGATCATTCTCAATGTTCGAATATCCAGCACCTTATCATTCGTCAAGAGACAAAATGAAGTTATAACAAAAACGACTAGTAATCAAAGCGCAAGGATAATGTTGTGGATTTGGCATGTCTTAGCCTTGAATAATAACAAAATAGTGAATAAAATTGTCTTAACCGACTTCACCTTTGCACCCTTTGTATAACGCAAAAATAAGCAAGAATCCCACATTTACTGATTCTAATTTTTGATAATGTGGTGTGGAGTTAAAACTTTTTGATAGAAAATCGAGCTTGTTGAAAAGAAAAAAAAAAATTATAATCGAGCATTGAAATGTTCCCAAATGGAAGAAAATCGGTCATTACACCCTTTGTATAAGATAAAGATAAAAGATTGTTGTTACTATTTTTCGAATCCTGCTCTATCTTAGTAGTCAATCTCCCAAACAAAAGCATTTGATATCTGTTAAAATAATCAGGAAATTGTGGATATATAAGATTGGAACCATTAAAAGATGATTTGAGAATTTGAGGTTTGACTAACTAAATTTAGTTTTTGCTAATAAAGCAACGTTTTTTTTTGCGTATTTTTCATGAAAAATGCTTCAGTTGCGAAGTCTTGACTCCAATTTGTACGTCAACTAGGTTAGAAGAGGGAAGTTTAAATCAAAAAGGAAAAGTTGAAGACATATTGGAGAGCATTTACTAGAATCAGCAAATCAGCAAATTGATCAAAAAAACAACCTCGCCCCACCCACGGAGAGAGAGAGAGAGAGAGAGAGAGAGAGAGAGAGAGAGAGAGAGAGAGAGAGAGAGAGAGAGAGAGAGAGAAATGAAGTTATTATATTTAGAGCTAATTCAAAAGTACAGAAGTTTTCCTTTTTGTTTATTCATTCCTTTTTCTCTTTTCCACTTTCTTTCATTTTTATTTTTGTTTGTTGTACGCTTCTCTCATGTCACTATTTTCTTCTCTTTCCTATTAATATAACTAATTAGATGCTTATTATAATATTATAATTTTCTTTTACTTATAATTTCATCTTTGTTTTATGTGTTTATTTATTTATTTAAACTATTAAAAAATTCATGACCAACTCGATAATATGAGAAAATACTAGAAATGTAAATTACTCATTATTTAAAAGCACATACTAAATAATCAAAGTATCATTTATTGAATAATGTATAGCTGAGTAAACATTATGTTATTACCATCTACCTATTTGGTGTTGTTCTATATTAATAATTAGTTAATTCTAAGCTATAGATGTATTAATATAAATATTATATAAAATACTCTATATGTATAGCTAACATATACTTTGTTATTAAGCAGGCTTTGTTATTATTATTACTTCTAATAAAAAAAAGTAAAATGATACAAATAAATGAAAATAAGTCTAAATAAATAAATAAAAAATTGGAGAATATTATTAAAGAGAAAAAATTAGTTGAGCACATGAGAGGAAGGAGAAAAGTTTTTTTTTTTTTTTTTCAAAAAA